AGATGGATTGTTTATATTCAAAAGAAACATAAAGTGGTAGAATATAAGTTAGGTTTTTAGAATTTTTTAAGTTGGTTTATTTCTACTATCTTTTCTTGTAGATTAAGATATTTTGTAGAGTTAGAGATATTAGTATTTGTTTACTTTTATATGAATATTATTCTGGGATTAGGTTTGGGGAGTCCGGGGGGTGGGTGGGTGGGTGGTTATTGATTGGTTATTGTGTTTACCTATGATTGTTTTTTATGATTGAAAAAATAAATAAAATTTCTTATAAAAAAAAAAAAGGTAGGGTGCGTGCACCGTGGAGGCAGTCTTTCCAAAAGGGGGGAGCTGAGCAGCCCCAACTAGATGGGGCACTCCATCAGCTTATGGAGGGTTCAGGGGGGTCCCCAGAAAGATGGAAAGATGATTGTGGGAGCAGTTAAAGGCCCCCAAAGACTATCACTCGAAAATGGCTGAGGGGAGCCAGGCTACTTTTCGGCAGTGAGAGAGGGAGACCGGAGGCAGCCAGACTCTCAGCTGCTTCCCTCCTCGTGGGCCTCTGCCTGCCCCGGGCCTCTCCCTGGCCGGATTCTCTCCTGGAAGCTCTGGTGCCCAGCAGGGCCTCCCCCTGGAGGGGAACCCCGGGGGTCCCTCTGGCCCCTTGCCAGCCTCCCTGGGTGGGACCACTGCCATCGTGGACTCGGGAATGGCACCATCTCCTCCCCGCGCAGGACCTGCTGGATGCCCTCCTGGAGCCCCTGAAGAAGGAGCAGCAGCTGCTGGAGCAGAGGCAGGCGGAAGAGCAGAGCCGCCAGGAGTGCCAGGTGGGTCTCTCGGGGGGGGAGGGGGCACAGGAGGCAGCTCCAGGGATGCTGGTTCTGCAGCTAGGAACTCTCCCCCCTCCCTCTGAGTCCCTGGTCTTCTGCCCCCTCCCACAGGAGAAATGTGCCAATGAGAAACAGAAGGTCAGGCTTCTGCTGGGATCCTTGGTGGAGCTGCTCAAGAAGAGGCAGCCGGTCTGGGTTGCCTGGCTGGCCGAGCAGGAGGAGAAGATGGAGGCCGAGTGGGAGTTATATATGGCCCTGCTCTCCGGGGAGGCCTCCCGCCTGCAGCAGCTGATTGCCCAGACGGAGAGAAAGTGCCGCCAGCCAGACGAATTCCTGCAGGTGGGCGGGGCTCTCGCTGGCCTCAAGGGGGGCAGAAACAGAGGTTCCCCTGGGGGGGGACACTGGCCACCCTTGCGAGGGCCACAAACCATTTCTCTGCTCTCTTTCAGGACATCCAGGACACCGTGGAGAGGTAAGGCGACACCTTGCCCTTCCCCGCCCCTGTCCTCGTGGGTCAGTCGGTCTCACACGATCAGGTGCCTGCCCCTTCCAGAAAACCATCCTCTTTTTACCAACTCTCTCCTCTGGCCCACCAGCCCAGAGAGGTTGAGGAACTCTGCATGAAGTGAGAGCAAACTCCACTCGCCTGTAGCACTGGTGACTAGGAAGCAGTGTAGCACTGGGAAGCGTTGTAAGCTCAGTTGTTGCAGGAAACCGGGTTTCCTTGCGTTGGACACCTTCATCCTTGGTATAGTAGGATCGGAATCACATTTGATGTTTGTGTTGAGTTTGTGTCTTTCCTGACTTCTTTACTGAACTCTACCCTGGTTCAGTGCACAGAGTCGGGTGCGATCAAAGCAACGTACATGCTTACATAAGAAACAAGCCAGGATTCGTACCAAACCCTAAACTCAGGTTTGCAAAACCCGAGTTCTGTATTCACGTGGCAAGATGTTGGAATGGGCCAGCTTCTTTCATTCAACCCACGCAGCTGGCCGACCCAGCCCCCCGTGTTGTGGGGAGAAAGATGGGTAGCCGTGTGAGGCCACCGTCCTTGTGTCGCAGGTGCCGGAGTTACGTGGTGGGGCGCGTGGAGAGCGTCTCCCCCAGGCTGCAAGGCAGACTCCAGACCATGTTGGAGGAAAACGCTCCTGTAAGGCAGGTTGTGGACAATTACAAAGGTGCGGGGCTCCTTTGAGGTGGGTCTGGGGGGAATCTGGGCCCCTCTTCTCCCCTTCCTACTGGGGAATCTTGGGGGAGCCAGTCCCCATCCTGCTTGGGCTGGTAGGTGAAGGAGGGTACTGCCCCCTCCACTCCATCTCTCACCCTACCTGAACCATGGTACTTGGGGGGAGAGGGTGTCACTGTGCACCTGGCAGGGACCAAGATGTTCACTTCTGCACGGCGGTCGCTCATGGACGGCTGTTTCTCACCTCGCTCTCGTTTTTTCCTTTCCTCCTCCGAATCTCAGCCTCCCTGGAGACGACTCTGACCAGGAAGAAGCTGGAGCGACCTCTGGCCGCGGGTAACTTCATGGGGCTGAGGAGGAAGGGGGCAGTGGGGGGGGAGGCTTGCAAACTGCTTGTCCTCACCAGATCCCACAGCATCGGTTTCCCCAAATTGCCAGGAGTGGCATCTACGAGGTGTCTGTGGCATTTTCAGCGTTGCCACATTAGGGTGGGTCACTCATGAATTCTGGCAAGCAACGACAAGCCAGAAAAGAAGACACACGCAGGAATCTCCTCGGGATGAGTGGACCCAGAGTGTGATCTGAGCCACCTATTTATTTTGTACATACATGAGGAAGTACAGGTGTCAATACATAATTGGTTACATTTTGTTGCAGGGTAGAATAAGTCCTAATGTAGCGTCTTTAACATATGATTGGTTGTAGCTTTCTATAGGATGTGGTTAGTGCAGA